ACACATTTCTGGAGGCCTCCAAAAATTTAAAAAAAAATAAAAAATAAATAGTTTCCTGGGTTCTCCCTGGGCCACTTCCAGGATACTTAAAAAAAGAAAAATCAAATAATTTAAAAAATGTTTTTTTGTATTATTTGATTCTTTTTTTATTTTTTTAAGTATCCTGGAAATGGCCCAGGGAGAGCCCAGGAAACTATTTTTATTCTTATTTTTAAAGTTTTTGGAGGCCTCCAGAAATTTTAAAAAAATACAAAAGAAATTTTGGAAATTATTTGAATTTTTGATTTTTTAAGTATCCTGGAACTGGCCCAGGGAGAGCCCGGGAAACTATTTATATTTCTATTTTTAAAACAATTTTTGGAGGCCTCCAGAAATTAAAAAAATAAAACAATAATCATTTTTACATTTTTTTAATTTATTTATGTATATATTTATTTACGTATTTTAATATCCTGGAACTGGTACAGGGAGAACCCGGGAAACTATTATTCAGGGCCTTGGGCGACACATAGGCCCAATTCTTCCTCTTACCCCCCCCCCCCCCCACCCGCCTCGCGCAGGAGGCGACACAGCAGTTCTTCTGTCGTCACGCTCGCCTGGCAAGCCAGGGCCGCCCTCGGCGACGCATGCGAGAACTTCCCGCGCCGCAGTGAGCCACGGCGGGCTTGCGGCCGGTGTGCTCCGGGAGGACGCGGCCACGGCGAGTTGCCAGGCACGCGCCCAGGAGCGCGCCCAGCCCAACACATGCAAAGGCCCCAGCCGGGTGGGAAGTAGGCAGGGGCGCCGCCCGCGCGCACGAACACAAAACGTGCGCAAGCGCTTTTCTGCAAGTCCGCAGCCAGCCGCGCCCCCCATCGCAACAGCACCCAAGCACCGCGGAGCAGCAAGTCCATCAGCGCCCGGCGCGAAGCTAGCCGTGGCGCCCGCCGCGGAGCCCAAAACAAGAAAACAAACCAACGAGTAGCAGCCAAAAAAAAACAGCAAAACAACGGGAGGGACCGAGGGCCGGGAGAGCCGGAGCCACCATACGTTTTTACTTTTGGCTTTGGTTTACTCGGTTTTCTACGTTGCCTGCTTCCGTGCCCCAAGGCCCCCAACCCACTACCCGAGGCGGCAACTGACGTTGCCCACCTTGTGGGGGTGAGTGGGGATGTTGCTTGTCCGCGCGCCTTTTTCCTTTGCAAGTGCCCTGCAAAAGGGGCACGCCAGTCGTCGGGCAAGCAGTAACATGGTCGCCCGCAGCACCTGCGAGCAGCAGGCACGCGCAGATGCGGGAAGCGGCATGCGCGGGCAGCAAAACGATGCGGAACAACTCGCTAGGCAGCCGGAGCTCGGGTGAGCCAGGGGACTTTCCTACTGTTGTCGCAGGCGGGGCCACAGGCGGGGAGAGCCGTGCACGTTGCCCTCAGCTGCGGGCACCTGGCCTGGCGCCGCTCCATTGCCACGTGGGGTGAAGCATGGACGCTGCCTGGACGGCCCGGCCCAGCACAGGCCACGGTAACAATGCCAGACCAGCGCTGGTGGAAGGCCTGCGCAGCCGAGGCCCGCAGCACTGGGGCCGCTCCCTCGCTTTCCGAAGAGTCCCCGGCTTCTCTGGCACTGCGGCCTCTCAGCTGGCTCCCGATCGGGTTAAAAAACGTGCTCAGCCATAGAGGTGCGCTTGGGGAAGGCGCGGGTTTGGAACAGCTTCCGCCCGCTGCGTGCGCCGGCGGCGTGAGCTTAGCTGCTGGCCGCAGCTGCCACTTGGCACTCACGGCGGCAAGGGCTATGGTGGCCACGGCAGCAAGGCCAGCAACCTCAGCAAAGGCGGCAAGGGCCGCAAGGGCGACAGAGCCATGGGCAAAGGCGGCCAGAACGACCTGGAGGTTGCCCGCGAGGCGGCCGCTGTGCTGCAGCAGAGGCGGCCGTGGCGGCCATGCGCCGCCGCTGAGGCAGCCGCCGCTGAGGCAGCCGCTTTTTTGCCTGAGGCCCAGTGTTTTTACAGGTGGCGGCCGCGTTTTGCGGCCGCGGCTGAGACTTCCCACGCCGCCCGCGAGAAAAAAACCGAGCGCTAGCAAGCAAGGCGCGCGGACGGACGGAGGCGAGCGCGGGCAACCGTTGGCAACCCGACCGCCCCCGGCAGCGCCGCAGAGGGCGCACAGAGCCAACAAACCCGTGGGCCTCCCAACGCGTCGGCGAGGCAAGCCATCCCGGTCCGGACTAGCCGGAGTGCCGCGAAAGAGTGTTGCGCGCGTTGGTGAGAGCAGGTCTTGCGGAGGAGCCATGCGTCGAAGCCGACCTCGCTCCGCCAGCGTGATGAGCTGGATAGGCGCGTGGCCCTGCTGGCGGCAGGGCAGTGCCGTTGCGACCAGCGCCGCGCGGAACGAGCAGAGCAGCGCTCGCCCGTCTGGGCGAGTTCTCGGAAGCCAGCGCGCTCACCGCGTCGCCCATGGCGCCCGCGACGCAAGACACACTTTGATCCTTGCGTGACCCAAACCGTCGCCCTCCGCAGCGACAGGTCCCGCTGCCGGAAGACCTGCGCGACAACCTGCCCGCCCCAATCGCATTGTGCCGGAAGCGCTTTCTGCAGAACGTGCGTGGCAGCTGCCGGGCGCGGCGGCCGGGCCCTCTGGGTGCGCCGCAGAGGCGCTTTGGGTCCTCGCCGATGACGAGGCCAGCGCAGAGCTCTTGTTCCGCGCTGCGGAACAGCTCGCGACGTGATCGGCTCAGCGTAGAACTGGGCTACGAACAGCAGGAGGGGTGCCGGGCGAGGATCGCACCGCAAGCCGTGCAACATGCTGGCCTGTGCGATGCGGTCGTCTACCTCACAGGCCGCACGCACTGCCCGGGCAAGGGACTCGGAAGGCGCCCGCGTGCTGTTGCGCGAGCATCCGCGCCACGACGCGCCGGAACACGTTTCTCTGTGCAGGCCCACCATCCGGCCCAAGCACGCGCACGACATAACGCAGGCTGAAGGGGGCGAGCAGGGCGACCCACTCATGCCGGCTCTGTATATGATGTCGGGCAGCACGCAGCGCTTCTCCAGGCGCACAGGGAGTTACGCCCCGGCGAGGATCTTTATGCGTTCCTTGACGATGTCTACGTGACGAGCGCACCTGATTGCACCGGGCCACTCTCCGATGCTTTGGGCATCGCCTTGCGGGAGCGCGCCAACGTCCGCCTCCACTTGGGCAAGACACGGGCATGGAACGCAGCGCGCGAGGAGCTGCTCACGCTTCCCCGACGCACGCGCCGCTGCTTGGACAGGCAATTGGGCGCGCGCTCCAGGCCAACAAGGGCTCGCCGTGCTGGGCACGCCGGTGGGGCATCCTGAGTTGTGGCCCGCAGCCTCCAGGACATGCGCGACAAGCACGATGCGCTGCTACAGCGCATCCCGTCTGTGCCCCACCTGCAAAGCGCGTGGCTCATCCTCCTCTTGTGCGCGCATCCGCGCACCCGGACGTCGCCCGTGACCCGCACCAGCTCGCAGCCAGGCGTGTGCAGCTCCCCCTGCGGTTCGAGGGGCTCGGGCTCCGATCGGCAGCCGCGTCTCGCTTCGCGGCGTACTGGGCGTCCTGGGCCGACTCCATGCCGGTGATCAGCGCTGGCCGACCCAGCAGGCTCCGCTGTTCCGAACTCGATCCAGCGTCTTGGGCCTTACTGCTGTCTGAAGCCGGCCAGGCGGGAGCGTTGCGCCGCCGCGCTGCCGTTGGAGCCTTGAACATGCCGCTGCGGGGTGCCCTTACCCACTCGGTGACCACCGGACTGCTTGCCCCACCGCTGGCGTGCTCGTCCGCCGCGCGGGCCCGCTCAAGCGCGGTTTGTCGTGAGCCTGGCGCGCGGGTAGCGACGAACGTTTTCCTTCGCGACCTCAACCTCGGCATGCCGTTGTCCGACGGGGGTTGCCGCGAACGGGCTTCCCGTTTCGGCGGCGTGCAGGTAGCTGTCGACGCGACGCTTGTGAGCCCAGTGCGGCGCGATGGGACCAACTGATCCCGAGCCCGGCCTTGCCCTGTGGGAGGCAACAGACCACAAGGCGCCGGAGCGCCTACCCGGAGTTCCAGGTCGAGGTTGGGGGGCGCTGGGGGGACGAGACGGAAGGTTTGCTGCAACGCCTCGCGCGGGGCAAGGCCCTGGCCAGCTTTGAAGCCCAGCGCGGTAAGGTTGCCGCCGCCTACGCGCGCCGGTGGGGGCAGTTGCTGGCGGTCGCGGCGCAGGGCGCGCTCGCGGCCAGCCTCAGCTCGCTTCCCCCCGACGCTGGCGACGCCGCTGCGGGGGCACCGCCGCTGGGCGACGTCATGTCCGCTGGACGCCGGACGCGTGAGGTCCGTTGTTTTTCACCCCAGCTGGACGAAAAAACGGCGTGTGGGAGAGAAAAAAAAGAAACACAAAAGAAACCAAACACTTCGCCAGCTTCGTGGTGTTCAAGTTCTAGCCGCTCTCACAGCTTTGAGCACTCGCCGTTTTCGCGTTTTCCGTGTTTGGTTCATTTGTAGCTTTCCTGGGTTCTTAGTTTTGGTGTTTTCCCGTGGATGGGTGGATTGTGGCGTGACTGTCCCGCTTCCCCAGTAGGATCTGGAAAAATGGGCGTGGTTCAGTTGGGGGATCACGGATTCATTTTGTACATGTCTGGGCTGGACTGTTTTGCGGTGACACATTGCCCGAACATGTGCTTTGGTGTTTGTTTAGACTTGCCTTTTTGACGTTCCTGGTTTCACGGTTTTCCTTGCCACGTGAATGTGCGGTCCGTTGCAATCAATCCTCGGCAATCGGCATGGCTAGGTATCTGGCTTTGCCGTGGCGAGCCTTTCGTGCCTGTAGATTATGTTTGTGGAGGGGGCAATGTTCGGCACTGGTTCACTATGGGCGAACTGCTGTGCCGTTCGGCTCGTTTCAAAGGTTGTGATCCAACTCATGGCTTGAACCCTATAGAGGGGATGACCACTGAACACTGTGTGGACTGCTCCATCAGAAATCAAGAAATACACCATAGTTATTGTGAGATCATGAAGTCAAATCTGCAAGAACTTTAAAACGTGTTTGGACAAGTCCATTTGACCATGACCTGATTTCATCTTGCACTTCGCTGTAGATAGCAGCCTATTCGCTTTTCAGCTTTGGGTTCATGCCAGTGCCATGGCATGCTCGGCGCGCCCGCTCCTTCATTCCCAACATTGCAGAGAGGGCATTGACGGTGAAACAGCTAGAAGACCTTCGCACCTTTCTGCAAAGAGTGTGCAAAGCAAAACTGCTACAGGACTCGGGGGCCACGGGATCTGGACACTTGCAGTGGCATGAGTTAAACCTGTACCATGTCACAGATGAGGTGATCAAGCCCGTCATTAGGTTCCATCATCAAACAGGTAAAGAAGCTGAACAGGGCTATTCTTGGCCCCCTGTCTTCAGGTCTCTTGTGCCAACTGACACAAAGGGATATTCGTGGGCAGAGTTGGTTGCAGAAGGGCCGCAGCCACCACAATTGATGATCAGCCATTGGTGGGGAGGTCGCTTTCTGGATTTCATGTCTGCCATCGACAAGATTGTGGACCGGAGGGCGCTGAGCATCAGTGCTACCATTTGGATTTGCACCTTTGCCAACAATCAGTTTGGAGAGTCTTTTGGGGCGGGCATTTTGCAGACACCTTTCGTCAAGGCGATTCAGAAAGCAGATGCCACCATTCTGGTCATTGATCGGGATGCTGGATCCCTCCGACGCAGCTGGTGCTGTCTGGAGCTACACTACACGATTTTGAAGGAGAAATCTCTTGAGCTTTACACGCCTGCAGGTCAAGTTGGTAGCGAGAGTGTCTCCTCTGGTCCCTTGGTTGACGCGATCAGCGAGTGGGATGTGCGGGACTCCGCAGCATCGGAAGAGGCTTACCGACGGCAGATTTTGAATTTCATCGCGGATGTGCCGGATTACCGGGGGTTGCTCACCAAGGATAGCATTTCATGTAAGCTGGACTTGGCTGATGGCTACCGGCCCCAACTCGATCCAGCAGTGAGTGCTGAGAGCGAGAGGAACTTCATGCTGGAACATCAAAAGGCGTTTGAAGACTTGAACATGAATGTCCGCGTTTCTGTGATTGGAAGCATTGGTCCTCAAAAGAGGGCGAAAGGTTGCCGAATCGCCAACTCAGCTCACAGGGGTATCACGCTTGGGCAACTTCGAACCTTTGCTAAAAAGGCCAAGCGCTGTATGAAGAAGCTTTTGCCGAACGTGCCATGGGAAGAAGTTATCACTCATGACGTGAACAAGCACTTTATCTTGCCTTTGACTAAAGACGACAATTGTTCATATGTAGAGCTGGTGGCTGATGAACCACAAGTGCCTTGGATGTTCATAGACTATCAATTATCCATGCGCTTCTTGGACATCATGACGACCGTGGAATGGTTCGCAGAGGCCATGAATCTCAAGGATTCAGAGGTGTTTTTCTTCAACCTGCTGGCCTTTAACCAACACAAGGTCCTTGAGGAGGTCCACAGAAACTGCTATGACAAGGACAACAACCTCGTGATTGATAAGGCGCAGTCTGAATGCAGCAGCTTCCTGTGCACATCTTCTGTTTATTCGATCACCAATCTTGAGAAGCCGTTTGCGAAGTGGAGCGTGTGCCATGCTTGGCGCCTGTACAGTATCGAGTGTGCCGTCCGTTTGGGACAAGCTGTTTACCTTGCTTGCCCGTCCGGGGCTATGGCATGCACTAAGCTGTTTCCGAATGGGCATTCGAAGTTTGGTTCAATTGATAGGATTATAATGGAATCGATCTTCAATGTCTATGAAGCGGACATGGAGAATGCTCCTTGCGCAGTGGACAAAGACCGTCAGAAGATTCTGTCCTTTATTCAAGGACCTAACGGTTGTGGCCTTAAGCGTTTGCAACGACGCTTTCAGCGATGGAGTGCCTTTCATTTGGTCTTGGTATGGGCTGGCCACGGTGAGCTGGTCAACTTACGGAAGCTTAGTGCAGTGCCAGGTTTCAGTGTTGAAGCTGAGCTGGCCAAAGGCGGTTTGGGCGAATCTGCCTTGCACGAAGCAGTAGCTGCAGCTTCAACGGAGGCAGTCAAGGTCCTTCTGCACGCTGGGCTGTCACCAAATTCAACAGATGCAATGCAAGAGACACCATTGCACTACGCGGTCCTTGCCGGAAATAGCAACATGGTGCAGCTGCTTGTGACAGCGCGTGCTGATGTGCTGATGGAATCGATTTTTGGGGAAACGCCATTGGATGTGGCTGCGCAGAATGTGGCGGCTTTTCTGGGACGTGATTCTTCGCAGCTGGTCTTGCGCTTGCAAGAGATTGAAAACCAAGCTTGCGGGGAACGATTTACAACAAAACTGAGCTTGTGATAGGAGAGGACGTTTGCAGGAGAGTCTTCGTGCTGTGCAAGCCAGCACTCGATTTCACATATGTGCATGCTTACGGCCACAAGCTGCCAGCCGCCTGGAGAACACAGGTCAAAAGTGGGATCTCAATGCTGGAGATATGTTGATGGGATTGTACATGGTGCCGCGCGCAATTGCAAACCAGCATGACTTTAGCTTTCCAAACATGCAGCAATGCTACACAGTGTGGCGTTTGGACGTTCACTGGACTTTCAGTGGTACGCTTGGGTAAGGCAGTTTATGGCGGAAAGACCCACCAAACCGGGGTACAACTCAAAAACCATATATGGGCCTTACATAAGTTAGGTGCCTCCAACTTGGGCTCCTGAAATGGACCCTGATTTGTAGAGATGCACCAAGTCACTGAGGTCACTACGTTTTTTATTTTTTTTATTTTTTTCGCCTGACTTAAGGCTCTGCTTGTGCCTGGGTGGAGGTAGAGTGTGTTTAAGGTGGTTTGGGGTTGGCTTGGCTTGGCTTACGCAATCTTGGTTTTTCGGTTGGCAGGGGTTCGGTTTCAGATTCGCTGGGGCTCGTTCACGTTTGTCTTAGGGCTGATTTTAGGGCTCGGGTGAGGGTTTCGCTTTTGGGTTTTGTTTCGGGTTGCTTTAGGGTTTGGTTTGGGGTTGGATTTTAGATGTTTTCCCGAAAGCATGGCGAAGGGTTCTTCCGCTGGGTTCACTTGAGTTGTTCTCATGAGAGTCATTACAAGGTGTCATTGCAAGGAATCATCATCATGAAAGTCAATGCAATGAGTCATTTGCAAGGAGTCATTGCAAGGAGTCATTGCAAGGAGTCATTGCAAGGAGTCATTGCAAGGAGTCATTGCAAGGAGTCATTGCAAGGAGTCATTGCAAGGAGTCATTGCAAGGAGTCATTGCAAGGAGTCATTGCAAGGAGTCATTGCAAGGAGTCATTGCAAGGAGTCATTGCAAGGAGTCATTGCAAGGAGTCATTGCAAGGAGTCATTGCAAGGAGTCATTGCGGAGCTGCGCATGGAGTCAAGTGCAAGTTGCAAGTGCAAGGAGTCAAGTGCAAGTTGCAAGTGCAAGGAGTCAGGTGCAAGTTGCAAGTGCATGGAGTCAAGTGCAAGTTGCAAGTGCATGGAGTCAAGTGCAAGTTGCAAGTGTCAAGTGCAGTCGAGTGCAAGTTGCAAGTGCAAGGAGTCAAGTGCAATTGACTTGCGAGGAGTTAAAATCTCTTCTTAGGGCGGCGGGGTAGTGCCGACGACACTACACGAAAATCGACCCTCTGCGGGGATCGGCGTGGTCGAGGTGCAAAAACCCATGGGTTTTTTGCGATTTCTAAAGTTCCCGCGCGACCCTCTGCGGGGATCGGCGTGGTCGAGGTGCAAAAACCGATGGTTTTTTGCGATTTCTAACATGCTCGCGCGACCCTCTGCGGGGATCGGCGTGGTCGAGGTGCAAAAACCCATGGTTTTTTGCGATTTCTAACCTGCTCGCGCGACCCTCTGCGGGGATCGGCGTGGTCGAGGTGCAAAAACCCATGGTTTTTTGCGATTTCTAACCTGCTCGCGCGACCCTCTGCGGGGATCGGCGTGGTCGAGGTGCAAAAACCGATGGTTTTTTGCGATTTCTGCGGTGCTCGCGCGACCCTCTGCGGGGATCGGCGTGGTCGAGGTGCAAAAACCCATGGTTTTTTGCGATTTCTAAAGTGCTCGCGCGACCCTCTGCGGGGATCGGCGTGGTCGAGGTGCAAAAACCCATGTTTTTTTGCGATTTCTGCGGTGCTCGCGCAACCCTCTGCGGGGATCGGCGTGGTCGAGGTGCAAAAACTCGAGGTTTTTTTGCGACTTTGGTTGTTCGAACTGGTCCTCGGGAGTTGTCTCGTGGTTCGCGCGCCTGCTCCCGGGCCGGCCGGTCGCGGGTTCGATTCCTCCCTGGTCCGCGGGCGGGCGTCGCAAGACGCAACTTGCATTTTAAAGCAACTTGCGCAGACCAACTTGCACCGACCAGTTTGCGCAGAGCGCCTTGCCTAGAGCAACTTGCGCAGAGCAACTTACGCAGAGCAACTTGCACAGAGCAACTTGCACAGAGCAGCTTGCACAGAGCAACTTGCAGGGAGCGCAATTTGCACAACTTGCGCAGAGCAACTTACGCAGAGCAACTTGCACAGAGCAACTTGCACAGAGCAGCTTGCACAGAGCAACTTGCAGGGAGCGCAATTTGCACAGAGCAACTTGCAGGGAGCCACTTGCAGGGACCAACTTGCCGGAGCAACTTGCGCGGAGCAACTTGCGCAGAGCAACTTGCACAGTGCAACTTGCGTAGAGCAACTTGCGCAGACCAACTTGCACCGACCAGTTTGCGCAGAGCACCTTGCCTGGTGCTGTCTCGCGCCAACTTGCACATATTGCAACTCGCACAGAGCAACGTGCAGGGAGCCACTTGCAGGGACCAACTTGCCGGAGCAACTTGCGCGGAGCAACTTGCGCAGAGCAACTTGCACAGTGCAACTTGCGTAGAGCAACTTGCGCAGACCAACTTGCACCGACCAGTTTGCGCAGAGCACCTTGCCTGGTGCTGTCTCGCGCCAACTTGCACACACTGCAACTCGCACAGAGCAACTTGCGCAAAGCAACTTGCGCAGAGCAACTTGCGCATGTGCCAGGCCGGGGTTAAACAAGTTTGCCGCACATCGTGGGGAGTTATGCTTTCAGGCCACTCACCCTGTAGGAGTTTGACGCAAGGAGTTCTCATCATGAAAGAAGTTGCGGGGAGCATGGCGCACACGGCTTATTTACGGGCATGGCGCACACGGCTGGTTGTTATGTGGCACCTTGCGGATGATCATCGAGATTTGGCTCAAACAGAAGTCATGGAGCTCGAAGTAGCTAGGCTTCAGGCTGGCGCGGCCCAGCATGGCAAAGCGTGGCTGCAGCAAGAGATGGCGGCCAAAGCCCAACCCCAACTTCGCGCACTCGCCCGACGGCTGGATGTGCGCCAATGGGTCGCAGGCAGCGACGTGACCAAGGCAGACCTAGCTGCCGCTGTCGTGGAGAAGCTGTGCCCACAGGCCAGGCCACAGGCCAGGATCGAAATCTGGAGAGTTTTGCGGGTGTTTGTTTTGCTGTGCTGATTGTTGCCAGGAGAGCAGCTTGCGCAGAGCAGCTTGCGCAGAGCAACTTGCAGAGCAACTTCCGCAGCGTAACTCGCGCAGAGCAACTTGCACGGAGCACTTTGCGCAACTTGCGCAGAGCAAGTTGCACAAAGCACTTGTGCAGAGCAACTTGCGCGCAGGGCACGTGCCCAAGCAGCTGTTGCGTGCATATGTGCGTGCATGCGTGCGCGCGGTTGCATTTTTCTGTTGGTTTGTGTGTGTGTGTGTGTGCGTGTGTATGTGTGTGCGTTTGTGTTTGCGCTTCCTGCGGGTCTGTGCGTGCGTGCGTGAATGAGGAGCGAACTGTAATACTTGTTTTTTTGTCTGGCAAATCATGTTCTTTTTTCTGGCAAATGGGTGTGGGTGCGAGGACAGGTGCTGATGGCCAACATGGTCCAGCTGGTGGCACGAGCTCTGGTTCCTCGCAGTTTCCTCAACCTCCACGCGGAAGCCAAGGGCAGTCTGCGACTGCGCGCAGCACAGACGGATTGCGATCTCCTTGTGATCGGCAGCCACACTGCGCGAACTGGCGCCGTCACGAGAATGATTCGAAGCTCGGCTTGGAGAAGAAGCTGCAGTACCTCTTTCTCTACGCAGCGGAAGCCCGAAGTCTGACTTGCATGCGGCACTACGTAGAAGTAGCGCACGTAGACCCCGGATGTAGGTCGTGCCAAAAAACGGCGCGTGACTGGGCTGCGAAGACTAACAAGGTTTTGCCGCCCGACGTGGAGGGTTTCTTCCAGAGCCACGGGCTGTAGAGTTTTTGCTGCAGGAGGCAGTTGGATTTGACGCGGACTGTGCGGACAACCTCGCTTGCGATGTTCTGCTTTCGGGCCAACCGTGGTCTAGTTTAGATAACAAGGCTGCTTTAGGGTTGGTATAGGGTTCTGTGTTAGCTTGGTCTATGCTTGGTTTATGCGGTTTGTGCCAGTTTACGGACAGCTTCGGGGTTGCTTTTGGGTGGGCTTGGGGCTGTTTAGGGCAACCTGCAGATGCGTGGTGGCAATTCGCTCAGCATATGCCTGAACTTGTTCAGGCATCGCTCTTTATAGCATTTCCTGTCTATATGACGTTAGGCTAGATGATTTTCAGAGTATGGTCGCTTGACGTTGAACTGTGTGGAGCTGACTGAATGTGTGTGTGCTGTGAAGAATTGATGCCTGGTACATTGTGAAACCACTTTTGCAGCACTTCGCAAGGAATGAAGCATTACCAGTTGACATGCCACAGGTTGCTTCTGGTCACCACACAGAACACAACACAAAGGACATGCAGCACCGCACGTGCAACTCTGGCCAACCCACCCAGTCCTTTGTATTGCCCCACGTTTTGGTTCTGCGCACACTTGCGTGGACACGGGGAAAAGCAAAGTGGCTGCGGGCCGCGTGCTTCAGCGCCCCCCTCCCCCCCCCTCCCCCCCCCCTCCCGGTAGGTCCAAAAACGACCCTTGGCCAGGTCACAAAAAGACCCAGCACAGGTCGAGAGAAACACAATTCCTGCATACTCGCTACTCACGCCGAAAACAACTACACGGTCAGCGGGTAACTCAGATCCTGTGCAGCTCGGCGTAATTCAACATGTGGGAGAAGTGTTTTTGTTTCTTTTCTTGTCTGCTGGCAGACACTAGACGGATCTTTGAGTGAGAGGTTTGGCTCGAGCCGATGGACAGTCTTAGCCTTTGCCGCGCCTTGAGGGTCCCAACCAGCCCAAGTGGAGCCAAACGAGCTCCTTTTCCATGATCGCAGAATCAACGCGTTTGTGTTGCTTCAAGACCTGCTTGCCCGGCGCCTGGGCTGGAAGCAAGGCGTGCCGAGCGTTCACCTGGTGTGGCAGGAGTAAAAATCTGCGCCGAGCTCTCAGCGCCGATCTTAAGTCGAGCTGCACGCCGAGTTCCTTGGAGAGTGAGGGTTTTTCTTGGCGGCATTCTACGACCTTGAGCATGCCGTTCAGCGCGCAGC